AAATTGCATGTAAATGAGCTAGTGTCAAAAACTTAAAATAGCTGCAGTCATTCATTACTTGTTTTTTCCTCTTGATTTGTGTGCAGTCTCTTCCTTGTTCTACTTCTACAGAGAAAAAACATTGCATGTTTGTCAACCAACCAGGTTTTTGTCATGTGAATAAGATTTTGTGTGTTTTGGGTTTTATAAGAACTTTGTAGATATTAATTATATGCCTGTTAACTTTGCCTTATTTGGGCTGTGAGTTGCCTGCATTTTCATTTTTATATCACTATTAAGTAATTACTTTCACAAATTATGTAATTTGTGAAAATATAGAAAACATCTTTTGCCTTTTTTTGCCGCAATAGTTGTTAATTTCTCCTCAGGGCATTTTCACATTATTAGATTATGTATCAAATTTCGGATATTCTTTGTATTTAAATAGGTTGCCTAGTGTTTTTCTGAAATGAGAAAAAGTAAACCAAATCTCACATTTTATATAACTTTTAGTAATTTCTGACTTTTTGGCACTGAAGGCAATGGCAGTAATTTTCCCAGTGGTTACTTAGTCTGCTAATTCTTTGAGCTGGATAGAATATTTCACATGTTCACAGACTTTAATATTTTGCACATTAGTATAACTTTGGGGCAGTTTTAAACTGAGAATGATCATTGGAATAACTGTCTACAAAATGATATTTTCATAATCATATAGGATTTATGGGTAGCTATGTCATTCAGATTTTCGCTCTATTAATTCATTGTAGTGACATGCATTAACAGGCTGTGCTGTGTACTTGGCACTTTTTAGAGCATATTCCAAATGGTCATGGGAAAAAAATCTGTCCTTAAGGGGCCGTAGCAGTGGTCAGCCAGTGAAATCAGCGCTTCTCAACTTGAGCATGCATTAATGAGTCACAAGGGAGAATCATTAAAGACAGAGCTCTGGCTTCTCCATCCCACAGTTTCTGATTCAGTGGCTATCAGGTGAACCTAGCAGTGTAGTGCTATCAAGTTCTCAGGTGGTTCTGATGATGCTGGTGGTTTAGGAGAGTGGTAAAGCAAGTGGTAGAGAGCTTGCTTAGCATGCTCCAGGCCCTGCGTTCAATCCCAGCACAGTTTAATTTAAAAAGAAAGAGCATTTCTGGTTGTGTGCTCTGGTTGTAGTGTAATGTCCCATTATATTGTTAGAATCTCTTTGAGTCATTCTAAAACACTCCAAATATTTACAGCTGTAGCCAATTGAGAAGCATTACAAAAGTCCATTGTTTTTACTGGAAAGTGTACTAGCTTCTGAGTTCTGCATAAAAAATAGTGTGTACTTACGGTTTTTTGATCTAGGATTTTATTGTGTTCATTCAGTTAATTCAAGTAAAGATAGAATATAGGAAAGTATATTTTGAAAAGCTTACAATTTTTTTTTAGTTGATTCTTATCTAAGCAGCAGAGATGAAACAATGTAATATTTGTTTTTTAGATCAATATGTTCTGGACATGCTTATGCCTGATGGATGGTGCTGGAAAACTGTCCTACTCACAGCCTGTTAAAATATGCTTAGAATGATAGCATTTGATGGATCAAAATGATGGCTTTGTTTTTTCTTTTATAGATTGAAGATAAAAGATTTGATGAGTATATTTCCTAAGACCATGAGTATATCTATTCATTATAATCTCATTTGCTTTGTAACTTCATTCTCCATTAGAATTTTAGAATTTTCTTCATTTTATTCTCATTAAGGAGATCAATAAATAGAAATTGTTAAACAGTTTTATTTATAGCCTGCTTTCTGAGACCTTAAAAGATTTATGCTAAATACATATGTATATATAGGTAAAAGTCCATTCAAAACTATGTAGTGCATTAAAAAAAATTAAATTGGTTTGTATTGAGAATGCATAGTTGCTATATTGACAATAGTCCCGTCCAGAAATTATGACTGTAATAGTATAAAGAAACAGTTACCTAATTTAGAGCCTTGTAATATCTCAGTTGGTTTCTAGTACATTGGCCTTGATGTATGTCTGCTAAGAGTATCTGTGTGCAGGAACCACTTTAGTATAGAGACTTGTTCCTAATTGGGAGTTTACAAAGAACACACTAACAATTTATTGCCTTCCCCTTTTTTTTTTCCTCATAGATTTCCATTAACATAGCATTTTGTGGTTTTTGTGAACCAAAAGATGGGTTTGGCTCTGGAACAGTGCATTCATTGAAGTCATCCTATCTGCCCTGTTATCTTTAAATACTGTGCCAGACACATGCCTTGTCCATTTTTTTTCTGTTCACGAGTCAAGTTTTCTTGTTCTTGGAAGTCCCTTAGTAAGATACTAGGCTTCTCCCCCAAGGTGGTTTGTTAGCCTGTTTCCAACTGAGGTATTCTCATACATGCAGATGAGAATAGAACTGTTACATCTTCTAAATTACATAGATTCTTTTGGGGGGAGGTGGTTTTTGTTTTTGTGGCACTGGGCATTGGACTAAGGTCCTCATACTTCCTAGGCAAGTGGTCATCCACTTGAGCCATGCTCCCATTTTGCTTTTAGTTTGTTTTGCATTTGGGGGGTCTCTCACTTCTGCCCTGGCTGGTCTTGCATCATGATCCTCCTCTTTCTGCCTCCTAAGTAGCTGTGATTGAGGCTGTATACCACCACACCTGGCCTAACACTAGACCCTTTCTTGACATGTTCTGTTGGGTTACTTGTTACTATCAGTAATTCCTTTAGTCAGGAAATGACTGTTTTACTTCCTGTTGACATTAAAGTGAGTTAAATTTCTGTAAAAGTCATTGCTTAGTTTTAGGCATATGAATACAGAAATAAATTTGTTTTGTTTTTTGTTTTTGTTCTGGGGATTGAATGCTAGACCTCAAGTATTTAGGCTAGTGCTCTACTGGAGATACAAACCGAGCCCCAATGTTAAAAGTTTTTAAAAGGAAATTACTCACAGGTGCCACAGCTCTGGGTTCAATCACCAGCACCACTTTTTAAGAAGAAGGAAGGAGTTAGGGAGAGAGGAAGGAAGGAAAAAAAAATAATAAATTGCTTGAATTTTTTCTGTTTGCCATCTTGGAAATTATTGGAGTCTTCTAATCCATAGTGTGGTTCTCTTTCCCACCCACCTGCTTATTTAAGAGTCCCACTGTTATCTTACTAGGAACCTGTAAAAGATATGGGGCCTGAGTTCAAATTCCCGTGCTGCCAAAAAAAAAAGTTAAGATTATATTTACTCTGTTGCATGGTGATTAATTGGGGAAACCAGACTTTTGTTTCTTAGCTGTGTGTTATGCTACATTGACATTTATCTGGAGCCATGACATGTTTTGGAAAATTAGGAGAAGATCAGAAGTTTGGAAAATGACATGCTTCAAGTTTGGGGTGGGAAGTATACAAAATATATGTTCATATTCTTAATTTGTGCATTGTAATAAAATGTGCTTAATATGTGATTATTGTGTCACAAGTGTTTAGAGGTGAGTGATAAGGAATGAGATTTCATGTTAACTTTCAGACTAGTGAATGGATGTAGCTTTCCCTAGGCTTACTGAAAATACGGATCTCATATTTTGAGCTAATTTGGAATTACTTGAATAATATGGAAGACTGCCTGTCAACCAGTTTCTCTCTGTTTTTCATAAGTCAAATATAACATAGAAGATACTATTAAATTTAGCAATATCTGAAACTCTGGTAAAATACTGATTTCCTACAATTGCGGACAGTGGTCTCTTGCCATCGGAGTGTGGTGGATACACCTGTGGGTATAGTGGGCCAGGCTGCCTTTGGCATTTGTCTTCCAGACTTACAGGAGGAAATATACTGGAAACAGCCTGTCATGCAGTTACAAGTAAGAGGAAATGACAGCTGTTTTAGATAAGGGACTAAATGCCCATTCTATTTGAGAAAAGAATACATTGGTTTAGTCTTTGCTGATTAAATGAGTTGTGAAAATTTACTGAATGCAGTAAATTGTGGAGCTGTGCTCTCCAGTGGTGGTCACATTGTGACTATTGAGTCCTTGGAATGGGATAGTGAGACGGCAGGGTGGGGGGGACCACGACTGAATTTTTAATTGTATCATAATTAAAATCAGCTGTGTATGCAATATTACGAACACTTGGAACAACATAGGTGTTAATATACTTTTGCATCTTCAGTTTTATGCATTTTCTTACAGATTAGTTTTGAAGAAAGTTCATCTGAATTAAATGTGCAAAGGATTAGTGTGAAGAAAAACGTTAATGTCTTTCCTCTTGGTTTCCTGATGAAATGATAATTTGGATATATTGGGTCCAATAAAACATACTGTTACGCTAATTTCACCTGGTGCTTTTTCTTCCCCCTTGATGTGGCTTCCGGAAAATGTAAAATTGCATATGTGATTCAATTATTTTTCTTCTGGACAGTGCTATTCTAGAAGACCAGCTGTCAGATATTTATTTTTCTCTTGGATTTGCATCCTCCCCACCTTTGGTGGTTCTGGGGTTTGAACTCAGGGTCTTGTTCTTGCTGGAAACACTCTACCACTTGAATTATGACCCCAGCCCTTTTGCTTTTAGTTGTTTTTGGGATACGGCTCGTTTCCTGCTTTTGCAATCCTAATGTTTCCTAAGTAGCTGAAATGATAGGAATACACTTCTATGCCCAGCTATTAGTTGAGATTGGGGTCTCACTTTTTGCCTGTGCTGAACCCAAACCAAAATTCTCCTGATCTCTGCCTCCCAAGTAGCTGCGGTTATGGGCATGAGTCACTGTGCCCAGCTTGGGTCAGTTTATTGTGGCATCATCACTTAGTTTTTGCCATAGTGCAGGGAAGGAGTTTTAGAACTCTGTTCTCTGAAAATAAATTATGCACGTTATTTACACTGTACATCTTATACTTTGGTGTTTATTATCTACATAATACCCATTAAATTTTTAGCAAATTTAATTCCTGAAAATGTTTCGTCATAACGATTTCTCTTAAAGATTCTTGAGAGATTATTTGTTCATTTATTGTTTCATTTTGTCCCATCTAGAATACTAGCCCTAGCTTTCATATAGTGATTACTCTCATTTCCTAAATGTCACCAAGCTTAGGGCAGGCATGGTGTTGATTTACGAGCATACAGAAATGAACAAGGTAAGATCCTTTTTGAGATTTAAAGGTTTAATGGGTGTATGTAGAGTTGTAAGGAACTGTGCATGTGTAGTTTTGGACACACGAAACTGCTTTGAAAACTTGGAAGCAAGGGCTGGGTTGTGGCCCAAGTGGTAGAGCACCTGCCTAGCAAGTGCAAGGCTCAGTATCACAAAACAAACAAACAAAAAAGCAACTTGGAAGCAAACATCCTTTTATTGTTGGTAACTAAGTAGACTTCACTGTAAGATGGTCAAGCAGTTGTAGGTATTTTGGAGGGTAGAGAGGGTTGTAGGGTGATGAGATGGTGTGGTCAAAAGGACTAATGATAGCAGAGAACCCAAGCAGATCATGTGAAGTTACCTAAAGGGGAGTGGTTTAGGAACTGGACGCGTGTGGTCAGTGCTAGTGTGTCTTCACAATCCCAGCACATACAGAATAAAGAAAAGTTGGAAGATAAAGTTTAGATCTGTACCTTTTGGGTGGTGGGGTCAGAAGTTTCAGGGTGACTGGATTAGTAATGTTCTAGAAAGTAGAGATCACTTAGATCACTACCCCCCCATCCACATGATACATGAAAGGATATTGAGAGGCAATGAGAATTATTTTGATTCCTGATATGAGTAATTCAGAGATACAGTCAATTTACTTGTGACTGTTGGGAAATAGAAGTAGATATGAGGTGTTGTAGGCTTTTCCTAGTTTGGTGGGTTGAGGGTACTAGCTAAGACTAAAGGTAAGTGTTTTCAGGAGTTCTGGAGGAAGGGGCTTGGTTACAGCTTCTAAATGAAGAGGAAGATATAACCCATTGAATTGTTTAATGTTTTGATTTTAAGTGCTTATAAATGATTCGTTGGGATTTTAAAAACTTAGAAAACCTCTCTGCCTGGTAAATAGTACTGCTAAAACACTGTCTGTTACTGAAGATGCCTAGAATCCCCTCATAACCCATGCTTTTGCTCTTGGAATTGATCTCCCCAAAATGTCCACTGCATTCTTTTTAAACATTAATCACGTCCTGTCCCCTTTCCCTTTTCAAATGCAGTAGCTCCCCATCTGAATTGTAAAGGGCCTTATTTAATTTGTTCTCAGTCTACACTTTCAACCCAGTCTCTCCCCACTCCTCGTCTTCACCCAACTGGTGGTTAGTCTGTCTCCTAGAAGGTTTTGTAGGTCCCTAATAGAAAGAATCTCATATCACTTCTTTTCATTCATATCACTTTGCCAGTATGTATTCACTGACTTTCTTGTGTCTGTGTTTTATACATTCATATCAATACTCATATGCACAAAGCTTGATATACAGTACAGGTTGCTGTCTTATCCACGAGTTACAAATTTGTGAATTCAATCAACCTTGGATTAATATTCCAAAACATTGTACTGGGCATATACAGTACAGCTTTGTATGTAGCATGTACATTGTATAAGGCATTATAAGTAACCCAAAGATGATTCAAAGTATTCAGGGGGGGTTATGTGTCAGTTCTATGCAAATACTGCACCATTTTATTAAGGCATTTAAGGGAATCCCAGAACCAGTCCACTGAGGATTCCGACTGATGTGAGGGAAATTTCAGGAGAAAAAATGGAGTGATGACTTAGATTTAAGAGTACCGGTTTCAAAGCTGGTTGTGGTGGTTCATGCATGTAATCCTATCACTCAGAAAGCTGAGGCAGTAAGATGACAAGTTTGAGGTCAGTCTGAGCTACGTAGCCAGGCCATCCTAAACTACGTAGTAACACCCCCCAAAAAAACCCAAAACTTAATTCAATTTAGCTTTCAGTTGAAGTGTGTGGATAAGAATCTTTATGTATTCATTCAATAAATATTTATTGAACATTTTCATCTCAGCCTGTGCCTTTTTATACTTAGTGAAGAAAATGGAATTGGTCCTGTTCGGTTTGAAAGTCTAGGTGGCAAGAGAAATATGAAAATCCAGAAAAAGATTTTTAGATAACTCCACCATTGTACTGTGTACTGTGGGGTTAGAGCAAGAAGAGTCAGCCAAGAATGTGAATTAATCCAGTTTTGAGTAGAATTTGGTAAAAGAATATGCATATTTTCTAAAGACGAGAAAAATTAGAGTGAGTGGATGGGAATAAGGACATCTTGTTCTGAGGCTGAAGTGTGGATGAGAATGACAGTGTGGGGGAAGATATGTTTTTAACAACTGAAATAAAATTTAAAGCTCAAAACAGTGTATGTTCTGTGTGTCAACTCTACCAAATATAATGGTGTTTGGTTCTGGATTCCCAAGTGTGAAAACTAGAGGGACCTACCTAATACCTCTCCAGCAAAGTGACCTTTTTCCTGAATGTAAAATGAGGGCTGGTGGTGGTGTAACTTTCCATGTTTGTTTTCCTTTGCTTCTATTTTCTTTGGTATATACTGAAGAGAATCCTAAAGCTAACAAAAGTGGAAAAGGTTGGCTGCTAGGAAGAACATGTCAGGAAATTCTCAAAGAGTTTCCTAGTAAACAGCAGCAACCTTTGTTGCTGTGACTACCCCTACACACCCCTGCCAATCAGCCAAGAGCCCGAAGATTCCATGAGGAGTGATTCAGTGAGATCTCTGAATGAAGCAGCACCTGATCCTCCCACACGTTTGCTTAAATAAGTATGAAGACTGGAAAACTATCCCCATTTAAAGTAGGCAGTTCTTAAAATACTCTGAAGAGTTCTTAAGGGCCACCAAGTATCTCCTGTTTTCAGTTGCTTGCTTCCTTTAACATAGTCTTTCTATTGGTACTTTACTACAATGCTGGAGATCGAGCTTAGGGCCTCACACAGCCTAGGCCAGTGCTCTACCACTGCTGTAGACCACAGTCCCTCTGGGTAAATGTTTATCATTATTTAATTGGGTGGATTGCAAGGATTTGAAAAGTTAAGTATAAAATACATTGTTTACTCTTCTGAATTGCTTCTACAATAATTTAAAGTATTTCTAAGAGATCAAATTAATATTTTTCTTATATAGTAGACATTGCTTCATTTTGGGTTGTGTTTTCATAAAATATATCAAGTTTATTAATTTTATTATCCTCGACTTTATAGCTTATACTAAATTCAATTTAGGAAGAGTTGGGAATTGCCCCCAAGCCTGGGGATCTCTGTAAGAAAGTTTTCTATTTGGCCATTTCTCTCTCCATGTGGTAAAGTTGGGAAATAAATGTATAATACATTTGGAAAGGATTTTTAAAATTTCCAAGCTTATTATGATACAGCTGGTGTTACCAGCATACTACACTTTCTTACATCTTTTACTTTTGCAGCATAAATAAATGGAATCAAGTTATCTAAAATTATTTTATCTATATATCTAATACATTCTGTGTGAAATGTATATTTAAGAAAACTGGCTTTCTGCCCTTATGCTCCACTAGAGTGGGAAGAGGGCTTTAAGCCTACTGCTATCAGGTATTTGAACTGTTCTGTGTAAATTTTTAGTGTATTTTTCTGCAGCATTAACTATTTCCTTAAATTTCTGTGCTCTCTTTGTCTTATCTTTGTTTGGTTCATAGCTTCACCCCAGAGCCTCTGGAGACCTTCGCTTTTCTGCTGTGGTCCCAACTACTTGCTGTCTAAAGTAGCTGGGGTACCACTATACCCGAGGACTGCAGTCTGGGTCGGAAGTGCTCTTGGCTGGATTAACATCATATGAACATTTGACAATCTTGACAGTTAGCTCTCCTTTTTTCCTGTTTGTCCTGTTACACTTATCCCTTTGAATAGTGTGTTCACAAACTAGCCTGGGGTACTAGTGTAGGAGTAATGAAATGAGTTTTACTTTTTTTTTTTTTGGCAGTACTATGATTTGAACTTGTCCTCCTGATTGCTAGACAGGCACTCTACCACTTGAGCCACTCCTACCTACCTTGTTTAAAGTAATTTAGTAGATACAGGTTGAACATCCCTAATCTGAAATCCAGAATGGTCCCAAATCTGAAACTTTTGTGCACTGATGTGATGCTCTTAGTAGAAAATTCCACACCCATCCTCATGTGAGGGGTCACAGACAAAATTCAGATATCCTTAAAAAAAAAAAAAGCTCCTAGGACTGGCCAAGTGGCTCAAATGATAACAGTGCTTGCCTAGGTAGCAAGCATGAGGCCCTGAGTTCAAACCCCAGTGCTGCCATAGAGGGGGAAAAAAAACACTCCTAAAATACAAAGTAGTATCAGGCTATGTATATAAGGCATATATGAAACATAAATTTTATGTTTTGATTTGGGTTCCATCCCTAGGATTGCTCATTGTGTATGTGCAAAGATTCCAGAATCTAAGACTAAACTGCAAAATGCAAGAGACTTATGGTCCCAAGCATTTTGGTAAGGGATGCTCAACATGTGATAAAGCCTAATTTAATATGAATGTTTCATCCAGTCATGATACACAGATAAAAACTAGTAAGTTGAAAAGTATATTTACTCTAAATGATATTTAAACAATGTATAGGGTATGTGAATTAATTGTAAGATATTATTGTTATATTTGTAAAGATTGCTTTTGCTTAGTTTAAAAAGATAAAAACACCAGCATTTGGAGGCTATGGCAGGAGGATCACTAGTTCAAGGCCAGTGTTGGCTACATAGCAAGACTCTCAAAAAAAATCACTGGTGGTAGTTATAGATTATGAATGCCTAAATCTATAGTACATATGGGCGACACAGAAAAAAAGCTCTATTCAGCAAATATTTCATTTAAGACCCAGGCAGGCCGTGTGCCGGTGGCTCATGCCTGTAATCCTACAGATAGGAGGATCACAGTTCAAAGCCAGCCCAGGCAAATAGTTTGCAAGACTTTTATTTCAAAAAAGCCAATCACAAAAATGAGCTGGTGGAGTGGCTCAAGGTGTAGGCCCTGAGTGCAAAGAAAAAAAGGACCAAGGCAGCTAGTGTGGGTAGATGAGAGGTTCTCTTGTCTGTTAGCAACTCCATACTTCCTCCAGAAGAAATGAGAAGATAGCACAGTACTCATAAAATAATATAGAAAAGGTCTAAGGGTGAACCAAAGAGATTGATAGTCTTCAGTAGGGGTAATAGTATCTTTTAACAACCAACTTGAGACTTGCAATACATGCCTGAGTTGAGAAGCAAACAGAAGCATGGAAAAATATAAGAATGCAAAAGTGAATACAGTATGAATATTGGAATGTCGTGTGTTCAGGGATTTGGGAGGGCAGAAATAAATGTCCAAGTATCTTCTTCCAGTATCTTCAAAAGTGAGTACGATCAGAGAAGGCCCACTATGAAGAAACGTTTGGACATGGTAACTCAAAATGAAATTGGAAAACTAACCAAAGATCTTACTCTGTGATAAGGGGCTGTTAGGTAGCATATGGCCAGAGAAGGATTCTAGTCAAGCCAGGAGTGGTACTCATGCCTGCAGTTACTTGGGAGGCTGAGATAGCAGTTGAAGGTTGGCCCAAGTCACCATATCGAGAACCTCTTTACAGAGAGTGAAAAAGTAGTTAGATTTATATTGTAAATAACTAGTGATTTGGGGAAAGGTACAATTCAGCAGTCATGGAGCCACAGGTAAGGTGTTGGAGAGTAAGGGCAGAAATCAAGATCTGCCAATTGGGATTGGGGGGTGTAGTTTAGTGGTAGACCATTCAGGTCAGTATTTAGCAGTATATAAAGACCTGCTAGTTAACCGGGTTAGGACCTGGTTAGTTGGGTGTGGAGGCTTCATGTGGAAGAATGGAGGCAGGGATGATAGGATTTTTTTTTTTTAACCATGTAGCAGGTGGTATTTTTGGTCCAATCAACTTGTAAGAGTAATTATGAGTAACAAGGTCAGGATGGAAGGCAATAGGCCCTTGCTTGTGACATTTAAAAGGTATTAATATAAAAACCCTGATGCTGGGCTGGTGGAGTGGCTCAAGTAGTAGAGTTCCTGCCTAGCAGTCGTGAGGCCCCAAGTTCAAATTCCATTCCTGCATCAGTCCGTCAATCAATCCCTAATGCTTAGCAAAAAGATCTTGGCAGGGACGTTTTGATTTATTGCTATAAGTAAAGGAATCAGCAAATGATAACTGAAAATATATTGAATGTGAAAAATCAGTTTAGCAGCACAAAATTTCAGCTTAAGTGGGGAGGCTAATATATCTTCTGTGCCTATAAATGGAGCTTACGTGTACACATGGTCTGCCTGCACTGAGTCTCATAGTGGAATGCATGTAAGGCTTTACAGCTCACAGAAGAGCACAGTTTCATTCATCAGTTACAGAAAGGGACATTTGTTATAGATGGTCAGAGACCAACATGAAGAAATGTGGAAAGTAGAGAGCCAGTCCCTGTGTTCTCCCATTCCTCAACCTGAGAAGTGACCTGAGGCAGTCCCTTTGTTGTAGCCATCCTCGAGTCCTACTTGAGAGCTACAAGCAGTTACTGTACTGTTATACCATCAACATGCAGTAAATATAAAAAAAATAAAATGGTACATACCGAAAGTAAATTTCTCTTCTGTCTGCTGGCCACCCAGACTTTCTATCCAGGGGCTTGTCTGTCCTTCCAGAAGTTTCTGTGCAAGCACAGGTATATTTGTATATATATTTAATATAAGTACACCGTACACTTAACATTTTCATACTCTTGCAGTAATTTTGGAGGTTGTTCTGTACCCTGTTGATAGGCCATTATTCTATATGTACCAGATCTTTTTTGGCCATTGTGTATGTTCCTTTCCCCCTCCCCTCATGTGTTCCATAATACGTCTTTGAACATGTATTAGGGATGTGTATGAATATATTCATATGACAAGACACTCAGTGGAATTACTTGGTCATTGGGTATGCTGCTAACCGAATGATGAGAATTTGAGTTGATTCCCTGTAATCCCAACCCGTGCATAAAATCAAGAGAGATCAAATGCTGTTAAAAACTGATGTGATTGGTGCAGATGACAGAAAATAAGTTTAAGAACAGAAATTATATATTGAACTTGGGAGCTCTGAAGAAGTCTGAAATTAGAATTCTGAAATCAGAGTCTAGAAACCTCTTGTGTGTATGCACAGAGACAGCCTAGTACAGCAGCAGCAGGAGGGTTTGTTCTAAGCACTGGCAGGGGCTGGGGAAGGAGACTTGTCCATTTTAGCTCAGTGGGCAAAGAACACCTCGAGATACTTGAATGAAACCTGAACAAGTTCAAGTACTGGCCTAGACTACATAGCTGTCTCAAAAAATCATAACCACAGGGCTGGAGGTGTGGGTCAAGCAGTAGAATGCCTGCCTAGCAAGTCCAGAGCCCCAAGTTCAACCCCAGAAGTGCCAAAAAAAAAAAAAAAATTAAGCTGCTGCAGTAAGAGTGATTGTGCATTAGTGTTGGAACATTTTCCACTCTAAATTTATGTCTGTTTGATTAAATGAGTCTTAATACACAGTGCTCAGACTTCAGGAAACTAAGTGATATTCTCGGGCATGCCGACCTCAGAGGTGCTTACATCACTTTTGTTGGATCAGTGAACAGGTGGTTTGTCTGAGGTCACGCTGGAACTTCTTTAAAGGTAACGCACAGTTTGAGCTTGAAGGAAGATTGTTAAGAATGCATCAACAAGCCCTGACAATGACAAATGGCATGTGTATTCCAAAAAAGCGGCTGCAGGGCCCGAGGTTTCACACTCCACGGAGGTGACTCCACCGTGCCAGGTGCTGGCGCTGAGGGCAATGTCACACGGTGTGTGAGATGATAACTCTGTTGTGTGCGTCTGCATACCTTGTTCTTGTACTCCCTGTTGAATTGGTTTGTAGTGTGTTATTTCTTCAAACCTTGTGATTAACAACAGATTTTTGGTTTCTTGATTTTTGAGACAAGGTCTCGTTAAGTAGTTCGGGCTAGCCTCTAGTTTATGATCCTCCTGCTTCAGCCTCCTGCTGCTGGAATTAGAGGCATGCACCACCATGCCTGGCCGAGTTTTGTACATCTTTAAATGACATCTTAAAAACTCCCTTGTTTTTAAGACTTCACAATCTTTTTAGAATATGCATTGACCTTCAGTGTTAAACAGATCATTAAAACATTTATCTTAGTATATTTTCATATGCATACAGCTACTGACATGTACTTGTAATTCAGATTTCTGGTACTTCATCAAGAATGTGCTAGCTGGGTGCCAGACGAAGCAGTCCGCCTGGTGGTCATCGTCCTGCCTCACCA